AGGAGGAGGAGGAGGAGGAGGAGGAGGAGGAGGAGGAGGAGGAGGAGGAGGAGGAGGAGGAGGAGGAAACAGAGGGTGAGTTCTTCGGTAACAAGTTGTTCCATTACAACCCCCTGCCCCAAGTCCAATAATTATATTTCGGGGAAGCCTGTGGACCAGAATTTGACCTAACTGGCTGCTGTCTCTCCTTGTCTCTTGAAGGCAGAACAGAACCCCCGTCCCTCAAAGTCGCCGTCTAGAGCTAGCTGGAATTGACCAATGCTGCAATCCATACTTCAGGATCAGCCCCAACCCACCCTGGACCGCCTTGTGGTCTAGACTGGCTTGTCTGCCTTGCCAGACTTCATGGGGGTGGGGGAGGCCAAGGGGTCTGACTTGAGACATGGGAGGGCGGGTGAAGAGGGAGCATTTTGGAGGTGGGTCTTTGTCGCCACACCCGACTTCCCGTCTCTCGCCTGACTCCTTTCTGCAAATTCTTTCTGCAAGTGCCACGGAATGTGGCCTTCTCGGGAGTTCTGCCAGACAGGGTGGGAGGGGCAACCAGGAGCTTCCGGGGAGTCGCCCTGGGAAGAGGGGGCTTGTGGTTTGTCCTGTTCTGCTCTTGCGGAGGCCTCTGGCTGCACTGCCTTTCGGGGGGGGGGGGCTTAAAGAGTCTGTGGGAAGGGCTGCTCAGAGAGGCTCCTTTAGGCCTGAGGATGGAGGAAGGGAAGGTCCCCTTTCCCCCAGTGGGGGGGGGGGGCAGCTGTTCTGAAGTCGGATGAAAAGGGAGGGGGGCTGGCTGCCCCCCAGGCACTGGATCCTGGGACCTTTCACCCGGTGGGGAGACTCGGTTCTCCTGAATCATGCAAGAACCCAGATTTATGTCAGAAACACTGTGAGTGGCCAAGTTTCTTTGAGGGGGGGTGGGCGTGGGGGTGGGGGGAGAAGCAGCTGCTGCCACCTTCACTAGAAAACTTTGGGGCGCTTCATCAGAAGGTTCTCCAGGTAGTTCTCCAGGTCCTCATCATGGGCTTGGATGTCATAGTAGCCGTCCCGTGGCACCGTGGGGCCCGGCAGGTGGCGGTAGTGGTGGCGGGCTGCAGTTTGGAAAGTCCGGGGGCTGATGTGGTTGGAGACGTGGTTGGTGCCTCCGTCCTTGGCCTGGTATCGCTTGGGCACCGGGAACTCGTTCCCCTTCAGGACCTCGTTCCAGGCGGCCTCCTCCTGCTTGGGGAGGTGGCGGTAGGTCTGGAAGGCCGTGGGGCGGAAGGCCTTGGGGACGGGGCGGGCCTCTTGGCGAGCACTGGGGTGGGAAGGGGCCTTCCTGGGCTTGCTGCGGGAGGGAGCCCCCAACGGCTTGCCCTTGCTGCGGGGCTCGGGCCCCACCCCCTCCTCCTTCTTCTTTTTCTCCACATCGTTGATTATATCAATGACGTCATCGGCGGGCAAGTGCAGCTTGCTGGACAGCTCAATCAAACGGTCAATGGTGTTCGGATCTATGTCCTCCTCCTCCTCCTCCTCCCCCACCTCCGGGGTCTCGTTGGACCGTTTGTCTTCTGCCACGTTGTCCTCCCCGTCTCCAAAGAGGAGGGAGGCCGCCTTGCTTCCGCCTCCTCCTTCTGACTCCTCCTGAGCATTGGCCCCTCGCTGCCCCTCCTCCTCCTCCTCCTCCTCTTCGCCATCCTTCAGCAAGTACTGGAGGAGCAGGTCGGAGGCCACGTCTGCCAGGCGCTCCTCTTCGGCTGCAGCCCGGCGGGCCTCCTCCGCCTGCCTCCGGCTCTCGGCCAGCTCCTCATAGCGGCGCTGCAGGAGCTGGTGCTCCAGATGCTGCTGCTGCCTCAGCTTCCGGGCTCCGGCCCAGGGCTCCTGGGGGGGCGCCCTGCGCTTGGTGTGGGGCTTGAGTTGCTGGTACTCCTCCAGTTCCTTGATCACGTCGTCAGGGCGGGGCCCTTGGGGAGACTCGGAGGGGGCCGCCGGATGGCGGTAGGAAGGCTCCCCTTGCTGGTCGGTGGGGCTGAAGTGCTGCAGCTCCTTCAACATGGACTTCAGGTTCTCTAGCTCCTGCTGGTCAGAGGCCCTTTCCTCGGCCTCCTGGGCCTCCTCCTCCTGTGGCCGATCTCTGTCCTTGTTGGATGGCCAGCCCTGCAGGCTCTCTGGCTGCACATCAGAGCTCCTGGTCTGGCCCCGGATGCGTTCTTCATCGGCCCTGGGCTTGGGGCTGAGGGGCGACTCCCTGGAGCCCTGGGGTGCAGTCTGAAGGGCTTGCAGGAGGACAGCGGCGAGGGCCTCGGGATCCAAGTCTTGGAAGAGCTCCTCTCTGCCGCCCTTCTGCTGCCCGGCATCCGGGCCCACCTCTGCCCACTCTTTCTTGGCCGCCTCTGGAGCTTCGCCCAACCGGCCCTCCAACCCCTGAGGAAGGGGGGCAGCCAGCTGGAGACGGGACTGCACCAAAAGGCAGAGAAAAAGGACCCGTGTCCCTCTGCGGAGAGGTTGGGGCCACACCATCATGATGCACAACTGGATGACCTGTGGAGGGGGGGAGACAGACAAGGGGCAAGGTCAGGGCTTGAGTGTCCCAGGAGCAATAGAAACACGTGTGACCCCCAGAACCGTTGACAAAAGGAGCTGGCTGGGCCTTCTACTCCTGTCAGAGGTGAGGTGACACCTCCCCCCACCCCCACCCCCACCCCCGGTTAGATGGCCACCTATTCTCTCATTAACAACCCCCCTCCCCCAGTTAGCTGCTTTTTTGCCAGCTGCACAGTTAAGGGAGGGTTCCCTCTGCAGGGCACACGGATTGCAGGTGGGCCTGCTATCAAGCACTCTTCCCGGGCCCCTTTTGTCGGAAGGCCTCCTGGTGGGCACACTCACTAGGCCTTACCTGGGCCACCAAGGGGCATTGCTCCAAGGAACATGGTACTCCTCCCCCTCCCAGGAGTCTGCACTCACACCTCCTGCCTTCTCCAGTGTGTGTTGGGGGGGGAAGGAGGGGGGCTCCTCCTTTGAAACGAATTTCTGTTATTGTTGCTTCTTGCCAACCCAACCCATTTGTTCAGCCCAATCTTCTGGGAGTGGACTTGCCTCCCCCCAGAACGAAATCCTCTTTTCATAGAATGTGCTTCTCCTGTGTCTCACCTAGTTCTTGGGGGGGGGGGAGATGATGGACTCGACATGTGATGCTTTGGTCTCTGCCCCTTTTTGTGATTTTGGAAGGAGCAGCTCATGCTTCCCTTGGCCCAATTATCACCCCCCCCAGCCAGCCCCCCCCAACCCTCCCAGCTACTGGTGCAGATGGTCCTCTGGAGGGGGGAAAGAGCAGCTTCCCCTTCCTCCCCCCCCCCAGCAGAGCAACAGCAGACCGCTCTGCAGTCCCCACACCCACCGCCCTTGCTGGCGGGGAGTGCTGGGGAAGCGCAGCCTCGACCCCCTCCCCTTCAGATCCCCTGCTGAGATCCTGCGCCCTTTCGCCCCTCCTCCTCTAGGATCGACTTCGGCCTGCCGACCTCTCGGCCGCGCCCCAGAGCCTCTCATGCCCGTCGGATTCAGCCTCGGCGATTTCCGCAGTGTTTACCCCGAGCGACGCCTCCCCATTCTCCTCGGAGACCCTCTGGGAGGCTTCCCCTTCCCCTCGCCACTCCTCCCTCCTGCTTTTCAGAAAACAACAACGCGAGGCAGATCTTCCGTGGGGCCCGCCCTCCCCCTCCCCCTTTGCGCCCGAGTTAGCCGGGTTCCTACATTGGGGTCCCTCCCGCCTGAATTCCAGAGTGACGCAAGTTTTTTCCCTTGCCCTGGCCGCGTCCCCCTCCCGAAGGCTCGGCGATCTGGCTTCGTCGCCCGCAGTCCGGGCTCTCCCACCCAAGTGTCCCCTGCGACGGGGAGCCCCCGCCGACCGGCTTTTTCCTGACGCCAGATCGCTTGGCTCGCTCCCCCCCCCCCCCGTGGATGGGCGAGGCCGGGGGGGGGCGGTTGTCGTCCTCCCCCTCTTCTTGGGAGAGGGCACTCCCGCCCACCCACCAGCGCTCACCCACGTTTCTCTGTGGTCCGGGAGGGAGGAGCGCGTTATCGGCTCGGGTGTAGCTGCGCCGCCGGGGACTCCACCCTTTCGCCGGTCCGCCCGTTCGCCGCCGCCGCCGCCGCCGCCGCCTGCCTTTCCCGGGCGTCGCTCTCTGCCGGACAGCCTTTCAGCACCTTGAACAGCGGCAGGGCTGGGCTGCTGCTTTTGTACTGCCAGTCCGACCCACGTGGGGGGCTCTATTGACGTCAATGTTCATTCATAAAATTCGAGCAGGATTGGAGGGGAGTTCCGCGCTTGCGCGAAACGGAAATAAGCCCGTCGAGTGAGCGAGTGAATGGCTGCCTGTGGCTGAATGAATGAGAGCGGAGTGGATGAATGGAGAACGCGAAGGAGAAAGGCGCAGGAGAGGCGAGGCGTGGATCTGGTGAATGAATGAGACACTCGGAGGGAAGGGTGGGAGGGGCACAGACCTGGGGAGCCCCCGAGGAATCTCTTGCCAGATCTGCACAGGGGCTTCCCCGTTGCCCGGGCCAAGAAAGGGAGCCGCGGTTTCTTTCCGAATCGCGCAGGCGGCGCGAAGACCCTCAGAGAGCTGGCGGCGGCCCGGGGGCAAATCATCGGCGGCCATGCGCGGGCGGGGCGGAACTGGGGGCACGCGCGCTGAGACACCTCTGCGTGCACTCCGTGTTCCGCGTGCCAAGCGCGGTATCGGGAGGCGCGCAGGAGATAGTACGGGGACCCCAGGTCGGCGCGGTGGGTCTTTTATCTCGGCGCCGCATTCCTCGGCGCGCCTTTTGCCAGCGCCCCGAGCAGAGCCTGCCGCCGCGCCGCGCCGCGCCGCGCCGTGCCTACCTGCCGCCGCAGAACCCTCCGGCCCGCCCGTGCTTACCTTCAGCTCCGCGTCTCGCTTCGTTTCTTCTCCCTGCCCGTTCTCTCCGCCCTGCCCTCTCAGGCGTGACTCCCTTTGGATCCGTGCAGAGAGGCTTTTGCGAGGTTTCAGGAGAGGGTGAGTCACCTCCCCTCCTCCTGCAGTCCTGGCGGCTCTCCCCTCCCATTCCCCCTCCCGTGTCCTTGGGGGTGAGGGAAGCTGTGCCGCCTTCTGCGTTTGTCGCCCCTCACCTCTGAACTGCGATGGAGGGGTCAGCCAGCCCCGCAGGATGGATGCTGGAGTCTACTGTGCTCAAGCCAAACCACCCAGACTCCCTCCTCCTTCCCCCTTCAGACTGCCTTGGCCACCAGTATAGGGTGTGCTTGCGGGAGGGAGCGGGGAAGCCATGATGGGAAGCCGCGACCCTTCCTTATGGATCTGGCTTGTTCCACTTGGAGCAACGTCAACCCCTGCAAGCTCTCTGTTTACGTGCCAGGAACACGAAAGGCTCCTTGGATGCTCCTTTCGAGGAAGGCGATTGGGAGCAAGGCTTTCTCTGCACCTCTGGAGATGAAAGAATCCTCCAAAGAGCCCTCGGGTTCTTCTGTGGTCTAAACAGGAACCACCACACGGCCAGCTGGAGTCAGAAAACCGGCGCTTCCAAACACCGGCAGATACTACACTGACTCCCTTCCACAGGAAAAGTTCCAAGCCCGTCTAGCCCACCCTTCCCAGCTGGGGGCCCTGCAGCCAGAGGACAAGCAGCTGAAGGTTGGGAGGACTGAAGTCCTATCCAACTGGAGGACGGCTTTGAACCTCCTGCCTTTTAGGAAGCCCAGGAGAGAAACTCAGTCGTGACCCTCCCTCGTCCTTTGGCCACAGAAGCCTTTGGCATACTCCCAGCCAACACGTCCAGGCACCGAGGAGACCCCAACGTTGGAGAGGAATTCTGACCAACAGCTTCACCGAGGGGGAGGGGGAGGAGGAGGAGAGGGAGGGGGAGGAGGGGGAGGAGGATACGGCTTAGGGGACTAGAAACAAGGTCTTGGGAAGGAAGATGGAAGGAATGGAAAAGTTTTAGCCTTGAGGGAAAATGGCTAAGAGGAGATACCATAGCAGTCTTCAAGCACTAAAAGATGGTCAGGTAGAGAAAAAAGACAAGACCAATTCTGGGAACTCCAGAATGCAGAACAGAGTCGTGATCTAAGTGACAGGAAGGTGGATCCACTGAACCTCCCCAGCAGAAAGAGCAAGTTCATAACGGTCCCAAAGAAAGAGAGGAGCCGACCTGCCCACCACGTTCCTCTCTTCTCCCTATGGAAGGGAGGGGTCTCCGGAGCGTCAGCAAAACCCCCCCCAGGGTTCTGCTGCAGGAACTTCTGAACGGCTTCTGCTGGGGGGCCCTGAACGTGCACGCACTGCAGGGCCCACCAGAGGACTCTTCCCTGCCTCAGCTCTGCCACTCTTGTAGGGGTAACATCTGGATGTCAAAAGACAGCAGCAAGAAAAAAGTTCCTGGCCAAGAAGGAACACCAACAGGAAGGTCAGGCTGTCAGGCTGGCTGGAGCTGTGGGAGGCCAAGGAAGCAGGCCTGGGGGAGGGGGGGAGGGGCAAAACCCTCAGGCCACCAAAGGCGTCCTGAGATCTGAGGCAAGCGCGGCTCCTCCTCCCTCAAGGCAGCTCCTTTGGCCAGCCCGGCCACACCCTCCGTGGCAGCCGCTCTCTGGGTGGGGGGGGCACTAGTCCTCTCCTTCCTCACCCCCACCCCGGCTCTTGCCAGCAGGCAGCCTGCCCGGGAGACGCAGACTAAAAGGACGGGGACCTGCTCTAACTCCGTGCCTCAGTGCCCTGTAAGGGCCACGCAGGGGAAAAAATTCCTCCTGGTGACCATTTCCCAGCCCCTCCCCGAGTGAATGAGCCGCTCCCTCCCAGGGCTGATGCCGGATTTCCGGGCTGTCAGAGTTTAGATTGATGCCTGGAGAGTGAGTCACTCCTGCAGCAGAAGGGACTGATTGTGTGAATGAATCAAGAGGATGCTTGACCCCTCCTGCCTGGCATAAACCAGGTCTGCAACCAGGAGCTTTTCTGCTGCGCTCGAGAAACCCACCAAGCCCAACGGAGTGGAGCCAGACCCCAGCCCTGACTAAGAAAGGAGCGGGGGGGGCACTTGGTGGGCAGACGGAGGGGGGTGGGCATGATTGGCAGTGATTGATGACTTTTGGCTTTCTGCTCTCACTGTATTGCCCAGGGGCTCTTGATCGCCACCAGGGATCTGGGGAGGCGATCAGGAAGTGGACCTGCAGCTCCAAACAGAATATCTTCCCAGGTGTGGAACGAAAGTTCAGATTCTAGAATGGCCTTTGCCCCCCCCCCCCACCCCGAGTCTTAAGCGGAGTGGGGTGGGATTGTGCAGCAGTGTGAGCAACTGTGTGAAGCAGTATGCAATTTCCCCCCCCCACACACACACACTCCTCCCTTGCTCTTTTAAAATAGGAGGGCCAAGAAAGAGACTGGGCAGCAGGACAGTGCTGGGGAGTTGCAGGGCACGGACTCATCCCTGTCAGAGATGGGGCTTCCCCAGGGTTGATGGGCCTTCTCCAGCCCCCCAGAGCTTGCCACTTCCAT